GCGCCACGGCCGGGAAGCGATGCTCGTTGTTCTTCCACCAGTCCAGCGGGTCGGTGCTGCGCTTGCAGAGAGGCTCCACGATGTAGTTCTCCAGTTGCTGGTGGATCTCGGGCATGCTCTCCGTCGGGTCCTTCCCCAGAAGGATGTCGTACATGCTCTGCGACGGGGTGCTCGAGCATCTGTCCTTGTGAGCGGCCAGCTGGCTGCCTGCGTCTCCGCCCTCGGCTTTGTAATCCAAGTTTGGCATCCAAAAGTGGGTGGCAGGTGGGGACTGGTGATTGAAAACCTGCGACAGCATGTTTTTGACTCTCTTGTGCAGCTCGCTTCTCAGCCCCGGGCTGAGGAACCTCATCTCCTTGAAGCGCGGGTCCAAAAAAGAGGCAATAACTGCTGGGCTTTCTAGCACCTTCTCATCCTCCGATAGCCCCCAGCGCCGCGTCAACTCCGACCTGATGTTGCCTACTACCGTCTTGATGACGGCGCCGGCCTCTTCCGACTGCTGTCCGATGGCAGCGACGATCCCGTGGATGCAAGGCATCAGAGACGATACGGACACGTTCTGCTCCTCGCGCAGGAAGGAGGTCGCGATCTTGATCGTCCTCATGACCGGCACCAGGTCCTGCAGGAGCTTCCACTGGTGGTCGGCCAGGTTCTGGACCGCCGCCGTGCCCTTGGGGTGTTCCTCCAGCACGGACATGATGGCCCACTTCAGGTCTAAGAGACTCTCGCACATCTCGATGGTGGTTATCCAGCGAGACCCCACGTCCATCACCAGTTTCAGCTTGGTTTTATTGATGGCTTCCAGCTTGCTGTTTAAGGAGCAGGTGGCTTTTGCGTCCTGCTGGAAGTACCTGACGATGCCCCGGGCGGTGCTGAGGGCTTCTTGGACCTGCTCGACCTCCAGCCCCGCTTTGATGCAGAGGTGAAGGGTGCGAGCGGCGCAGCACAGGCTGCTCCAGCCGTACGCGTTCTTCAGCGGCTGCGAGTTCGCCGCCGTGCTCTGCGGGCCGTCGTGCATAACGCAGAAGACAGATTTGCTGGACAACCCGAATTCGGAGAGGACGGCCTGCAGCTTCTCCCCTAAATCGCCCTCCGCTTTGTCTTCGTGCACTTGCTGCGTCTCCATGACGCACCGTCCCCGCCGCCACTCCCCGTCGATGAAGCTGGCTGTGACAGTCAGGTAGGTCTGGCTGAGCTGGGAGACCCAGAACTCCACGCAGACCACGATGGCCTGAGCCGTCTGCAGGTAGCGCTCCAGGTGCTGCTTGACCACGTTGTACCTGTGCCACAGCATGCTGGAGAGCTGCACGGGCGACGGGAGGGTAAAACTCGGCTCCAGGTACCCGAGGAGGAGCCCGAACCCTTTGTCCTTCACCATGGAGAGAGGGTGCAGGTCGCGGAAGATCATCTCCAGCACCAGCTCCAGGATCACGTCGCTCCTGGGTTCCGAGCAGGACGCGGCGTGGCTGAGGCCGCTCTCCGGCGGCGTCTGCCGGGAGCGTTTCACGGCGTTTTCCTGAGCCGCGTAGTCGGATTCGGAAGTCTGGTCGTCCTTGAGCTGGGAGAGCAAGGTGTCGCGGATGCTGTGCTTCCTCACCAGGTGCTCCCGCATCGTGGTGGTGCTGTTGTGGAAGGAGAGCTGCTTCTTGCAGACGTTGCACTCCACGTAGGCGTCTCCCAGCTTGGTGTAGTAGTTCCACACCTTGGACTTGCGACGGTCGACGTAGAGCGCGGTGCTCGTGCCGTCCTGACCCCCGCCTTTCTCTCTCTTCCTCCTGGACGACGGCCCGAGGCTGGCGGGCCCCCTGGT